ACATATAAATTACACTTATATACAAATGTAAATATTATTTTTATATTTTAATTTATAATAAGAATATTGTGATGAGATAATACATTTATACAAGTGTAATTAATGTGACCCGGGCACGCCAAATTTTTTCTTCACTATAATCCATTTGTCCAGTTTAGTCACTTTCAGTATATTTTATGGGTCTTGAATTATGAAATACTTGGCTAATTGCATTTATATTTCGTATCCGCTTTTTATTAAAAGGAATGTAACATATATTCGGTATCTTTCTTATGCACCAAGCGTATATTTTTTTCTTTTTTAAGGGGATGCTTATACCAATAAAATATTTAGATAAAATATTTAAACTGGAATGATAATAACAATGTAAAATGACTCGTAAAAGCCTTTTCCATCCATAAATGTTAAAAATTTTTCAATTTAAATCGTTCAAACTTTTAAAATTGTATGGAGTTTTATTTTAAGAATTACATTCATTTTTTATTTCTCATCTGATTTATGAACTTCGTAAAATAATTTTAACAAGAATGCGCATACATGTGCACACAACATTAAGCAGCACCACATGCTACACCATCCCAATGAGGATAGTCTTTCACCTTTACATTTTGTGTAATTAAGAAACATTGCTTTTAGATCTTCAATGATTCTAAAATCATGGATTTCCTCATAGTGCAGAATCAATACGAATCTCTTCATTTGGATTCTTACTTTGACATGAATCCTCAAATCATCAACCTGTTGGAAATTGATTCACTTTTCAGTTTTCCTCGTTATTTAAAAGGTAAGAATAGTTAAAGGATATTTTATCAAATATTTGTACATACGAATATTATTTAAAAAATTAATGTAAAAAACTTAGATAAACAAATTTTGTTCAAAAGGTTCAATTTGTGATTGATTAACATATATGTACCATTACAGCACTAACTGTTTTACGCATGCTCCAAAGTGCAATTACCGATAAAGTGTTTCGAAAGAATGTTCGTACATATGTAAACAGATAGTGAGTAAATATGTCAACTATAATTTCGTCGTATATTGTACTTATATAATAAATTTAACAGTTATTATAATTTTATGAAGTTGTTCGTAACTTTTCGTAATGGTTGCAATTTTTCTGAATATCTCTTGATTTCACATTTATAGGTACATATCTTTCTTTTCAATCAGTAGTCACATAATGTTCGTAACTTTTTCGTTTTTCAACTATCCTTCATTTTCCTTCATCTGTTTAATTCATTAAATTCGTTATAACTTTATACAATTTTTTGTGTCATTCCTTAATAAACTATTGTATAAAATTACCTACTTAAAGTGTTGAAATTAAACTGAATTTTTACAAATTGTATTACCAATAGTAATATATAATAGGACTTGTAATATATCTGAAATAGAAAATTGAAATATAATATATTACAGAATTCCATCTATATGTACAAGTTAATATGTAATCTTAAGTAATGAGTACATATTTACGTTGTACACAACACATTATTTTGGTCATTGACAAAAAATTTTTTAATTTAGTACTTTTAGCGCAATGGTTTCTTTTGATTTCTGGTCCATGCAAGAACCTGTAGAAGCATTTAAATGTTATATACCATCAAATAAGTTCTTAACTTGGATAACGTACAGGCATTATCAAATTGTAACCTTGGAGCAAGCAGAAGCTGATTCTTACACGGGAAGATTGTCGCAGAAGTATAATCCAATCGGTCAGGAAAGATGGTGGATACCTATGAATTTAAAAAATTATAATTTACCGATCGCAGAAACATTCATGGAAAGTTTGACAACATGTTTAACACCAGATTCACCGTCTGTTACTGTATATGTCCAACACATTGATTGGACATATGATTGTATAGTCAACATACAGCGAGCAGGTAAATATGTCTTAAAGGCTTAGAATTTATGGTATATAATTATTTGCAAAAGAATCTCCCTTTCTACTTTCCTGACCATACATATACACACATATATACAGGATATTTGAAAAATAACGATAAATCTTTCGCCTAGGGGCAAAACGAACTAAACTGAGAAGAAAAGTCCTCTACCATTTTACAATTTGCGATGGTTAACAATTGATTTCCGCGATGATTATTAACTTACGAAAATAGATAAATTCGTCGAGTCTATACCGCCAAATGCAAGCGCGCGACAGGATAGGAATAAAAGTATGAGAAATTTGTAGCATAGTGTAATATAATAGGCGTGAAGGCGCGCCTCATCCAGCGCGATGAGGCCCGAGTTCGCGCCTATTGTAGTGATGAAAGGTCGTTCTTTAGCGAATAGGTTGTGCTGAATACGTATGACCTTAAAAATTG